GGCCCGCCGCCTGGCCCCGCAGCCTCCGGCGCGCAGCCGTCATGCCGTGGCCTTTCTCGGAGTCCATCAAGAAGAGGGCCTGCAGGTACCTGCTGCAGAGGTACCTGGGCCACTTCTTGCAGGAGAAGCTCAGCCTGGAGCAGCTCAGCCTGGATCTCTACCAGGGCACCGGCTCCTTGACGCAGGTCCCTCTGGATAAGTGGGTAAGAGATGTCGGCGCTTCACTTCACCCCCTCAGCTCCTGCTGCGTCTGAGGGACCAGCTGATCTCTGCCTCCGGCAGCCTCCCACTTTATTCTCAGTACCCAGCCTCCTTTATGTAAAAAGTTCCAGCCATAATTAACATTTCATCCAGGGAACTCTTCTCTGTTATGCTAACACTTAAGAAGAAAAAAAAAAAAAGAAAATCTGGGTATTTATTACAGCTATGTTTTTCTAGCCACACTTTGGTTTTGTTATATTTAATTATGAGAAGGGAAACAAAAAATAAAAGGTGCTGATACTTCAGAGAGAAGGAGCTAGTGTAGCCCAAACTACTAGAAATTTCTGCTGTAGTTACTGAGGACCATGTTTACTCACTGCTAGTAGAGAGATTATAAAAACCTAAAGTAATTCCTGTTCTGTCTATGCTTTGTCTTCACCTTGGAGGCATCTTGGTTCTTATTGACAGTGTTATGCTGGGCTTAGTCCATGTAGAGCTCTAAAAATTGTCCCATAGTCTTGCAATGGTGAAAGTACTTGTTGACGAATGGAAAGCTGGAGTTTGCTTAACAGGTGTGCTGTCACACTTTGAACCAACTGAAGCTTTTTTTCAGTTGTGGCATGTATGTTTTTAGATATATATATATAGATTTATGTATGTGTCTGCACACACACACATATGTATACTTCCAGCCTGCTGCAGTAATCCAAAGATCTGTGTTTGTGTTTGTAATATTTTATAAAGTTTCTTGGGTTAATTACCAATGTTACTGAATTCTACCTGCTAGTCAAGTGACTGTCATAGGGAGCCTTAAGCACTGCTGTGCGTCAGTCATTGGCTTCGAGGTTAGCACAGATGATGAACTAGGTACACAGGCTTATTGCTTTACAAAGTACTTTCAAAACACGTTTTGACTATATTATGTTCTGTTTTTAGGGCATGCTGGGTACATTTCAAAATACTTGTGAATATGTGAAGTTTTCAAATAATGCTTTTCCAGTTGTTTGTGTGAAAATATGTTTGAAAGTGGCAGGAGACAGACTTTTGCAGAAATGCTCAATATTACCAGTGTTTTAGTGTGGGGTTTTTTTGTTGCTTGCTTGTTTGTTTTCTTTTCTTTTCTGGCTGTGTCTACAGCTTTTCTCTGGCAGGCAGCAAGGCTGTCTCGCTTTAATTGAATTATTATGCCCCCTAGTGGGTATCACAGGACTCTTTGCTAGTCAAAGTGGCATTTAAAATGTAAATACTTTGAAACAGCAGCAGTTACGGACCAGTACTAAATGAACAGTTAATTTTGTTTACGCAGTGATTAAATGTATATACAATAATGCTTAGGTTATCTCTCCCATTTGTAGATCAGCATTTTTGGTTTTGGCTTGTAAACAATGACATGTTTGAGGTTCTCTGCACGTGACTTTCTGATGTATGACAGATTGCAAAAGCAGATGTCGCGGAAGTATTACAGCTCTTTTTTTTTTTTTTTTTTTCTTTTCCCCTAGTCATTGCAAGCTTGTTCTCTATGAATCACCAGGATGGCTGTATTTTTATGTATTATCTTACACAGTTTTATGGATACTTCTGTTCATCTTAACATTGTAGATATTTTAGATAACATTGTATGTGTTATTATAGAGATATGTAGGAATACCTGGGGCTATTAGTGTAACCCCTTTGCCTCTTGGGACCTAGGCTGTTTAGAAAAATAAAAATGTAATCCATGATGTTTGTGGTTGAATTTTAATATACATCGAATAGTACTTTTCCTACTAGTATTACTGTGATTTCCAGATGGAGCCTTTCAGTCAATAATGTGGGAGCAAGTCCTGATGTGAAGACTGTGTTTCAATTTTAAGATTTCACTTGGAATGCTCTAATTGCTGCTTTCTAGGAACAACTGGCTTGTTTGTGAAGTGATTTAGCTATAAGAATACCTGAATTTTTTTGCTTTTAGATAGTCAATTTCTATTTCAAAATAATAAGAAATGTACTAAAGCACATTAATTTTTATCACCATGTACATTGGTGGCAAAAAGACATCTGAGACAAATTAATTCAAAATATGTTAACTAGCTTACTTCATGCTATAGCAAATGATTTTGTAAAGGTTCAAGTAATTTAAGTGAATCTGTGATATTTTCAAATATAGTTTTTATGCCATATAATTATTTTTGCCTTATCTTATGCTATTAGCACATTTATAATTCTTATATTTAGTTCAAAATAAAGTTTTAATATCACTGAATCATAGTTGATTATTTGATTCTTAAATAATTTCTCAATAGAACTGTTTCAGGTTCTGTCTTTTTCTGCTGCTTGAGTGGACTTTGGAACAGAAACTAGAAAAGCTGAACATGCAAGCAAACAAAATAGTAAAAGCAAAGTTATTAAGAGCATAAGCAGAGCAACAGTTTAGCATGATGGGAAGGTTGCACCTGGAGACATAAGAATGAAAAATGTCATCTTCTGAAAACTTCTTTTGTTAATTTTTATTTTTAAATTATTTTATATAATTAGGACAATATTTTAAATATAACTAAAATGGAAATCTGCTTTTAAAACCATATTTTTAATGAAACGTTTTATGTTGAATTTATGCATTTTGTCAGCTAAAATCAGTGGCCCTGTTCAGCATAGGAAGGTCAAAACTACACTTTCTTGTCAGTTGAAGACTATGTCTCTTAGTATTACAACTACAGGCTTTAGTAGGGTCTTGTGTATATTAGAAGTTGCACTCACTGAATTCGGTATGTGATTCAGATTGTTTTTTATTTTATTAAAGCAGCCTAGATAGTTCTTGTTCAATAATTTAAGTTTTAACTAAATCTTTGAATTGAGGCACAAACAGGGATTTGCATTTTTTTAAAACATAAAACATATTTTTAAAACATAAAAACATATTTTTAAAACATTTTAAAACATATTTAAAAGAATATGATAATTTAAGTTTTAACTAAATCTTTGAATTGAGGCACAAACAGGGATTTGCATTTTTTTAAAACATAAATGCGAAGAATATGTTTCCTTTCTATGGATGTAATGAAAGCTATATAGTGCAACAAGCGAGTCGTCTTCTGAAGATTGTGGAAAACTTAAAATTCCTAAGTGACTTCTTCAGAGCTGGTGTTCTATTTTTCTCATCAGTTTCACTTACTCTGTATGATACTGAGGGCAACTTGGTTGTAGTTTTGTTTATAAAGTCACATAAAGGATTGGATTAACGGAACAGTCGCCATTGGTATTGGCAGAGTATTGGTCTGTCCACTGAGCCTTGATTTTTAAATTAGTGCTGAGCATTGATCGCATCAAAATATGATCTAGAAATGGGAAGAGCAAGAGATGATTATTTGGTTCTATTGTTCCAGTGTTACACAGAAATGTAAAATGAACATTACATTGATATTACATGCTAGTGAAATACTCTTGCCACAGAAACCAGGTACTTTTTGCATTTTTACTATCAGCCTGTTTTCAGCTTTCTTGAAGTATTGCTGGAGAAAGAATAGATGAACTTGTGTGAGTACTGCAGTATTTATAACAGTCAGATAGCAGAATTTTTTTGGTATAGTGCAAAAAATGCAGGTTATACAGCTACCACAGAGAAATCTATTATGCTGAAAGCTAAGTAATTAATGCTGAACAAATCATGATGGAATCAAAATACTTGAAAGTGGCCAGTTTATTGTCTTTCTGAGTATAATTAATTTTCTGTTAGCCTCAATATGTTTTATTTGTTATATGCAAAATTATGGATGTGATTTTAAAAATAATTATTATTATTTTTGTTTTTATGTTACTCTCTTCTAGTGTCTTAACGAGATTCTGGAGTCTGCAGATGCGCCTCTGGAAGTCACAGACGGATTTATCCAATCCATTTCTTTATCTGTTCCATGGGGGTCATTGCTACAGGATAACTGTGCATTAGAAGTAAAAGGATTAGAGATGGTCTTCAGGCCAAGACCAAGGCTTGGTAAGATTTTTTTTTTTTTTCCCAAAAAGGAGATTCTTTACAGTTTTTCAGAGACAAAAGGCTACATTTGCTTTATTCAGTTCTTTACCTTATTTAAAGTGCCATTTAATTTACGTACACTGATGATAGAGAATGTAATAAAAAAAGAACTATCAGGTGTTCATTAGTTGGTTGTCAAGTGTTTCTAAGTTGGTTGTTGTTCTGTTAAATAACTTAAATTTTTTTTAATGTTCCTACTGTTGTATCTCTTCTACCAAACTGTTTCAGACATATTGAAATTAAATTTACTTACTATGTGTGGAAAGGAGTTTTTGTTAGCTAGGGTTTTTGGATGTTGTATGCCAAGTGCTGTTAGTCAGCATTAGTAGCTGACTATTAGGTGGCAGTAGGATAACACAATAGTGTAAGACTGTGGGGGCGGGTGTTATACTGAGGTTCTGGATTTCTTTGGTAGCTTTAGTGTAAAAGATGTATCTTGTGTATTTAGAGAATAACTAATACATTTTAATTGCTGTCACAGGCTGAAATAATGACTTAAGCACTCTAAGTACTTACTACCTTTGATTATAATGCTGAGAGGATTGTCTGAGCTCTTCTAGCTTGTCTGTATCCACATGAATCTATCTGATTTAGTTTAGACTGTCCCAGGGATAAATTTTCCCTAACTATCAAACCTCCATAAAGTCTGTTAAGATGGGTTGTTGTAGCGTGTGTGGGACATTTAGTGCATTTTTAGTGTGTGGAAAATTTTGATTGAATGTCTGAAGGATTTTAGTTTGTTTTCCTTTTTATAATGTAGAGAAGGAGGAAGAAAATATTTCTTTAAATGCATCATGAAGAAGAGAAAAAAAGGCTTAAACTATTTTCCATCTTTTGCAAGTTATATTAAGTAACTTGCTTATCTATACTCTGCATTTCATTCTTACTTGTTTAACTGGAACTGAATTTTGAGCTAGCTTACTTTCTGAAGTAAGATTATTGCTTTGAAAGAACAGTAGTATTAGGAGGAAGCTTTATTTATTCAGTTGCATCCATTTAGTTCTCTTTGATGCACAGTGCTTTATAATACAGTAGAGAAAAAACCCACGATGCTGGTTTTATCACACCTCTATAGCCACATGGATGTTTCCAGACCTGAATGCTAAACTGGAATGTTTTGCCTGTTTAACATGTTTGTATTTGTGCTAGTTTTACTTTTGTTTGCCTATACTTGAGTGCTGCAGTTAAATTTGATTAACTTTTCCAATCTGGTTTTATAGTATTTGCTCACAATGGGCTTGTCATTAGCTGATAGGAATGCACTGTCAATTAAGGTAATCTGGCAGCTAAATTGCAGCTTAATATGTGCTGTGCTCTCGGATTCGGATTTTATTATGTTCTACTTATGTCAGGTCTTGTGCTAGACGTTTAAAACGTGTTCTCATCTGCTAAGATAACATCGTAAACATTGTTTAGTCTTTCTCCATCTAGGATATATTTCAAATGCAATAAGAAACCTTAAAATAATTAAAAAAAAAAAAAAGAGGTTTGTTTTTTACTTCATTTTGCTGATTATGCCTGCAAAATCATACCAATATAATAAAAGTATTTCAGAAATTATTCGCTTAAACCAGTGCTGAAGATTGGTTACACTAAATCCCAGCTTCATCTTGTTTATATTGAATTTTCAAATAACATAATCTTACCAATGCAATCTTAATAGATTAAAGTAATTTTGAAGTAGTAAAGTGTATAAAGAGAGATTGTAAGTAAATTTGTTAAGTATGACTTCTTACTAAGCTGTTGAAACTCTTTTCTGGATGTGCCAAATGTATTATTTTGTGTTTTATTAATTGTTTCAATATGCTCAGTCAAATTTATTAAGACTTCTCTTACTCCACAGCATCTGGGTCTGAGCCTATGTATTGGTCAAGTTTTATGACCAGTAGTATGCAGCTTGCAAAAGAGTGTCTTAGCCAAAAATTGACAGATGAACAAGGAGAAGGGTCCCAGCCTTTTGAAGGACTTGAGAAATTTGCAGAAACTATTGAAACAGGTACGAACTAATCATTGCAATCTGAATTAACATCTGAGACGAAATCGGTTTATGTTGTGTCTCAGTTTTACAAAACTCTCCAGCTCTCCCAACTCTCTCAGCCTGTTCTCAGAGGAGAGGTGTTCCATCTCTCTGAAATATAGAAGTATTCAGCCAAAGTATCACAGTGCCATAGCAATGTTCAGGACTTCAGACATGGTGCACAATGAAGCAGGTACTTTCTTTAAGGATCATCCACACTGAGCCATAGAACAACTTGGTTTGAGTTGTCACTTGCTCAAATACCCATGCATTAAAGGTCCATTGCATGGTATGGATGTACATATTGGACATTTAATAGGTTTACTTTGTCACTTGATGTCTTGTTATATTATTAAACTCAATTGATTATTTCCACTGAAATAAATACTGAGAACTTAAACAGAATGAAAGACTATTTTAAATTGGTTGTAAAAGTCATTGTTGAGTAACTTTACTTAAATGCTTGCATGGTATCTTTTTGTTTTCTCATTTAAGTTCTAAGAAGAGTGAAAGTTACCTTTTTAGATACTGTTTTGCGAATAGAACATGTGCCGGAAAACTCTAAAAGTGGAACTGCACTTGAAATTAGAATCGAAAGGTAAGATCTTTTTTTTAAATCTGTATTTTTTTTCCTAAGGCACTTTTTGCCATTTCCTTTACAGTATATTTTACCCATGCACACACATTATTAGTATACAGTTAGACACTAGCTCTTGAGCCCTCTTTTATAATGTCAGTAAGCATTTTCTCCATTCAACTTCCACTTAACATGTTTAAGCTAAAGATGTCTAACCATCAAATTAGAGTTCGGGATTTTCCAAAGACAAGTTAATGACCACTTCCACAATTAACGAATAGCATTTCTCAGATGTTCAATAGTCAATGGATATTGCTGGCAAATCAGGCCATCTCTTCAATATACAAAAGGAGCGGACCCTTATGAGTAAGACAGTCCAAATATTTTCAGAAAGAAAGATGCAGTCCTGAAAAAAAAAAAAAACCCCTCGAAGTTTTTAGGTCCTCTGTAAGCTTTCGGAAGCCCACATATATTTTGTAATTACTTTGAACATGAATACTGTACATGTTCTTAAAATATTTTTTTGAGCTATGGTAGTGTAATCATACTTTCTTGCAAAGTATTGAAACCATTGCCAAATAAAACTGATTGTTTCTGAGAAATGCTAATGAAATATATTTGGTTTTAAACATTTATAAACTTCAGGTGGTTATGTTCAGGAGAAATGTCAGTAAAACTGTAATTATTATGGAAGTCCATTCCCAAAACAAACATCCTTTTTGGCACTTTAAAAGCTATACTGAAACAAACTGTTAGATAGCATGTTGTTTTGATGTTTGATACATTTTATTTATGGAAAGGTAGATGCATTTTTCCACTGTAAATTCTATTATGTGGAGACTTGCATGTTCTGAAGAGTTCACTGTTTATGCTGTGTCTCAGTATTGTAATGTAAGAAATTTAATTTTACAGGATTGGAGCCTATTGTCTCAATTTTCAACTTCCATTTTGACAGAATTACTTTTAAGTAGTATTTTCAGACAGCAGAAAGATATTAGATGGCAGATTTAAAAAAAAGAAAAAACAACAAACCTCCCTCCCCCCCGGACTCTGAAGCAAGAATTGTTGTGTCCCAGTGGAAACATATGTGTAGAAGTGTTCGGCAGACCCCTTAATTTGTGGTCAGATTAGACATAAGTACTAGGATAATACGCTATGATGTGTTCACACTGGAAGCATGTCACAATTGTCCTGTGGTGTCCTGTAGAAAATTTAAGATTTCCACCCATTCCCAGAGAGTGGTGGTTTCTCCTTTCACCACAGTCAACGGCATTGTAAATAGTATGAAGAGGGAGAGCGTATACAGACTTAGAGGCTAAGTGACACAATGACGGTAACAATTTGCATGCACCTACCATCTTTGTTTCCTTTCTTTTGTGTCCCAGAACTGTGTATTGTGATGAAACTGCAGATGAGTGCTCTGGAATTAATGTACATCAGCCCACAGCTTTTGCTCACAAGTTACTGCAGCTTTCAGGTGTCTCTTTCTTCTGGGATGAGTTTCCTGCATCAGCAAAGTCCTCCCCAGTGTGTTCAGCTACACAGCTGGTAAAATTAAATACGTTATATAAGAATATGAATTGATGAAGGGTAGAATGTATTGTTACACTAATATATTAGATCCATTCTGAAGGATATAGGAGTTGAACTTTTACTTGAATCTGTGTTCAATAAGCTTCATAATCACTTCCTGTTGATTTTGAGGAGGGGGAAGGAAACACTTCAGGAATGAGTAAAATTTTTAGGATGTATTGTACTGGAATCTGATTGCAACTTTAATGTGTAGAAACTGTCTACAATTCACTATTCAGTGGAAACCTGCTCCACTTTTTTTCAAAAATGTTTCATATTTTACATGCCTTGTTTCTTTCACAGTTACCAATACATGTTTTTAATGCCATTGTCAAATTTGTGTTTGTGTAAAATGATCATTTGTGTGATAAGCTTATTTGAAATGCTTGTTTATGTTAATCTTTCTTGGATAAGAAATGGAATACATTCTTACTCCTTTTAATGTTTTAAGGCAACTGAACCAAAGCTTTCACCTAGCTGGAATCCAAAAATCATTTATGAGCCACATCCGCAATTAACAAGAAACTTGCCAGAAGTTACTCCGTCTGACCCTGTACAGATCAGTAAGCTCATTGGTAGAATGGAGTTGAGCCTAACATTAAAGCAAAATGAAGTACTTCCTGGAGCTAAGGTTAGTCATGCTTTCCTGGTCTTTAAGTAAATTAATAGTTATGTAGGATTTAATTTTTTCTACTGCATTAAAAAATGGTGAGATTCTCAAGAGGACAGAATCCTCTTAGTTTTGCTGTAGATTCCCTGCATTCAAAACCAATATATATTGTCTAATAAGACATCTTTACAGTGCCCAGACAACTGAATGGCACACTGAAATCTGTTTAGGGAAAATTCCTGTGTGTTAGACAGACTGAATTTATGTATTGGAGTAATTCCTGAGCAGCTTGTTTTGTTTTCTTGAAACTCCTGCCTGCTATTCATTTATCCTTTTTTCTTGTAGCACCATGACTGATTTTGCCTACATATGTGTGGAATGTTTAACTGGTTGATTAAAATCACTTTGGTTTTAAAAGAGTATAATTTACTTCAACAGTCACAAGTAAATCTTAAATGATTAATTAGGTTGCAGCATTGCACCATTATAAAACTAACATGAACATTTCCGTGACAAGCAGTTCCCTCAGGGGTCCGTACTGGGACCAGTACTCTTTAATAATGACCTAGACAGTGGTATCAAGTGCACCCTCAGCAAGTTTGCAGATGACACCAAGCTGAGTGGTGCAGTTGACATGCCTGAGGGATGTGATGCCATCCAGAGGGACCTGGACAAGCCTGGAATGGGCCAGGTGAACCTCCTGAGGTTCAACAAGGCCAAGGGTAGGGTCCTGCACCTGGGTCGGGGCAACTCCTGCTGTCAGTACAGGCTGGGGGATGAACGGATGGAGAGCAGCCCTGCCGAGAAGGACTTAGGGACACTGGTGGATGAAAAGCTGGACATGAGGTGGCAATGTGCGCTCGCAGCCCAGAAGGCCAACTGTATCCTAGGCCGCATCCAAAGCAGTGTGGCCAGCAGGTTGGGGGAGGTGATTCTGCCCCTCTAGTCTGTTCTTTCGAGACCCCACCTGGATTACCGCTTCCAGCTCTGGAGCCCTCAGCACAGGAAAGACATGGACCTGTTGGAGCAGGTCCAGAGGAGGGCCGCAAAAATGATCAGAGGGATGGAACACCTCTCCTGTGAGGACAGGCTGAGAGAGTTGGGGTTGTTCAGCCTGGAGAAGTGAATGCTCTGGGGAGACGTTATTGCAGCCTTCCCGTACTGAAAGGGGGCTTACAAGAAAGATGGGAACAGACTTTTTAGCAGGGCCTGTTGTGACCAGACAAGGTGTAGTGGTTTTAAGCTAAAAGAGGGTAGATTTGAATTATATCTAAGGAAGAAATTTTTGACAATGAGGGTGGTGAGACCCTGGCACAAGTTGTCCGGAGAGGTGGTAGATGCCCCATCCCTGGAACCATTCCAGGTCAGGTTGGGTGGGGCTCTGAGCAGCCAGGTGTAGTTGGGGGTGCCTCTGTTTATTGCAGGGGGGTTGGACTAGATGACCTTTGAAGGTCCCTTCCAACCCTCTGTGATTTCTACTTTTGAATTTTTATATTAAAATTTATAGTAAAACAAATAATAATGTCATATTTAGATGATACTAGTTAATATTTTAATTGACTTTTACATAAAGGTACAGGAAGCAAAGTAGTTGAAAACAAAGCCCTTTTTTGAAAAAGTGTAAGTATGCAAGTAAAGTTGTGTAAATATTTTGCCCTTGTCTCTAGTTTTAGAATTGGCTATTGACCTGTCTTTTATAGTGCACTGTATACTATGGAAAGCATAAAGTTTCTCTACAGTAGAACAACAACTTATAGCAATTAATTTCTAGCCAATCTTTAGAACTTTTCTTGTTTATTCAATTAAGAAGAGTCCTTGAAAAATGAAATAACTTCTTATTTTTTTGGTGTGAAATAGAAAAATGCTGGCTATTTCAAAAGTGTGAATAATTAATGCAGTTAACACCTTTAAATTAACTGATGTCGAGATGTTTCTAAAGATCAAAACTTTTCCACTTTTACATTATTAGATGTATTTTAAGGTAACCAGAAGAAAAATGTTGGGGCAGAGTTGAGACTAATTATTGTTTCATAGATGTTCAACATAATAGAATGCAGAGTTGTGGTCTCTGCAAGTTGGGCTGGAGTACAGGCAAAACACTTGTTGGTGTGTTGAGTAACAGCAACATCTGAACTAGTGAATAGATGTAGTATTACATGACAAAATTAGAGAAGGACCTGTTTTTTCATTTATCAGGTAGAGTTCATGCACATTGGAAAGAACATAGATACACTATATTGCTTCATTGAGGTTAAACTTTTTTTTTTTACTCTGGAAACTGAATTATGTTAGAACACCTTTGATAAGAATAGGCATTTCAAGCATGTAAGCTACAAAATACCTTATGTAAGGTCACGTCAAGTAAGACATAGTTCAATAACTTCATTTTCTTTCAACTCTTTTGAAAGGATGAGGAGGAGGAATAGGAGGAAACAGTATACAAAACTAATTGACCAGTTATTTTTGCTGCTTAGGTAAATATTTCCTTAAGGTCTTTATGAGTGAAAGTATATTTTCATATAAACACATTCCACTATTTCCACCCTGCAGCTCTGCCCCTCCCCACCCCGCCAATTGTCCAACGTTGACCTTGGCTGGCTGACATAGACCCATCCAGCTGCTCTCACTCACATTCCTCAACAGGACAGGAAGAGAGTGTGATGAAAAAGCTTATAGATTTAGATAAAGACAGGGAGACTACTTTAGCAATCTCAACTTGGGGAAAATTAGTTGAATTTATTGCCATTTAGAATGGAGTTGGATGATGATAAACATATTAAAATTCCTTCCCCTCACCCATTTTTCTTCCAAAACTCAACTTCACTTTGTCATTCCCAACTCCTCTACCTCATCACCACCTTGAGCAGTGCAAGGGGGATGGGGAATTGAGGGGTTGTAGCCAGTTCCTCTCAGCTGTTCCTTTCTCCTCACTCTTTTCCCCTACTCCAGCATGAGTCCCTCAGGTTGCAGTCGTTCACAGACTGCTTCAGTGTGAGTCCCCTCCATGGGCTACAATCCAGCTTGATAAACCTGCTTTCACATGGGTCCTCCATGAACTGCAGTTGCTTACAAGAGAACCTGGTGCTATGTGGGCTCCTCTCCATGGGCTGCAAGCACCTGCCAGGAGCATGCTCCCATGTGGGCTCCTCTCCACAGGCTACAGCTTTCTTCAGCGCACGTCTGCCGGTTGCAGAATGGGGTCTTCCATGAGTTGCAGTGTGGGCTTCTGCTCTGGTGTGATCTCTTCCACAGGCTGCAGGGGAATATCTGCTCTGGCACCTGGAGCACCTTCTCCTCCTCCTCCTTCCTTGTCCTTGGTGTTTCCAGTATTGTTTCTCTTGCTGTTTTTTCCTCACTGCCCACACAGCATTTTGCCCTTTCTTAAACATCTTTTCACAGAAGCACCACCACCAGCTCTGCTGATGGGCTTAATCTGATGTGTCCTGAGGTGGGTCCATTACAGGGCTGGCTGGAACCAGCTCTACCCAGCATGGGGCAAACCCTGGCCTCCTAGCGCAGAGGCTGCCCCTGCAGCATACCCGGCTGCCTTGCCACCTACACCCAATACAATGAGTAATAGTCGTGAATGAACCAATGTCTGGGAATACAGTATTCTAGAATTGAAAAATAAATCTATACAAGTCCTTAGGATAATTTTATCTTGAGTTGCTCTCAAAAGATAAGTGGCTTGCTTTGTGGTATACCATATCAAACCAACTGGACTTCTAAACATCTGTCCTGGTTTTGGCTGGGATAAAGTTAATTTTTGTCCTGGTAGCTGGTATAGTGCTGTGTTTTAGATTTAGAATGAGAATAATGTTTATAACTCACTGATATTGTAGTTGTTGCTAAGTGGTGCTTACGTTTGTCAAGGACTTTGCAGCTTCTCATGCCCTGCCAGTGAGAAGCTGGGAGGGGGCACAGCCAGGACAGCTGATCCAAACTGGCCAAAAGACTATTCCATGCCATATGATGTTATGCTAATATATAAACTGGGTGGAGTTGGCCAGGGGCACTGCAGCTCAGGAACTGGCTGGGCATTAGTCCGTGAGCAATTGTATTGTGCATCACTTATTTTGCATATTCTTTTATCATTATTATTATTTTCTCTTCCCTTGCTGTCCTATTAAACTATCTTTATCTCAACCCATGAGTTTTACCTCTCTCAATTTTTTTTTTTATGTTGGTTTTTTTATTCTCCTCCCCATCCCACTGGTGGCGGGGAGGAGTGAGCAAGTGGCTGTGTGGTGCTTAGCTGCTGGTTGGGGTTAAACCACAACAACATCTCACTCTTTATGAAGAAAGTATGTGAATTTATTCATTTGTATACTAAAAAAGAAGTCCTGAAGAGAACCTTTACAGTTTTTAGGGTCTACTTCAGAAGGTGCCGACTTCAGTATTTTATAATTAGTACATCATACTAACTTTATGTTGTTCATTACTTCTGGAATTATTAAAGAAACAAAACAAGTAGCAGGTTAATGGTATTCTCGAATTTTCCTATTAGGCAGTTGTGTAGTTATTTTAAGCTAATAAATTGTCAGTGACACACCTGTGTTTATCCTGCCAAGCTGCAGATTGGAAGCAATACACAATTAAATTTTTAGCTGTTGTTGTGTAGAAGATGAAGATACTGCTGAAATAGCTGTATCCTTTGCAGCATCAAAATCTTATATAAAAATAGTTGATTCTTAAAGACTTTTAGAGAAAAATTTCTTAAGTATTCTTTCTTTTTTTTTAGTTGGATGTAGATGGACAAATAGACTCTGTCCATCTATTTCTGTCACCAAGGCAGGTGCATCTTCTGTTGGACATGGTAGCAGCTATTGCTGGACCAGGCAAGTGAACATTCTGCAAATGTTACATATGTATTATGGTGGACAAAAAATAAATGTTGTAAGATAAACAAGTTTCCTCAGTGGAAAAAAAAAAATGTTGTGGGGTAGGTTATTATTAGTTTTTATCTGGTATTAGCAAAATGTTTTGTAGCTGCTCTGAGTAGGACTAGATCAGTTTATTGATTTCAGTTGCAAATTGTGCATGCTGGTAATGAAAATCTAGGTAACAAATAAAGATTGACAAGTGACTCTATAATAGGACAAGAGATGGGGAAATGGTAAGTAGAGAAAATCAGGAGGCCAGAACCATTTTGGTTCTTGTAGCTTCTGTTTCACAAGAGAGGCTTAGCAATCTGGTTCCTTCTCTGTCCTATGCTTTAGTGACAGGCACAGAAAACATAGAACAGACAGTGATCAAGTTCATTTGTCCGTATTAGCTAAGTAATTAAGAGCAGTATTTTGACTACTGTAGTAGCAGGATGAGGGCGTTTTGGTTTGGTTTCCACCCCTGATCCCCCATCTACCTAATGTAACAACACTTATTATTAGGACAGATAGTTAATCTTTTTGAAAAGATTTGTCATGGCCTGGGTAGATACTTAATATTCTTCTAATGATACTGATGTATTGACTGAACTTGTTCATTCTAACTAGAAAAACGTTACATACAGTTTCCCATATGTGTCATCTTCAAACCTGAAATTTCAATACTTCCTTGATAGTAAAACCTTTAAGAAATTATGTCCTTGGTCCTCGAAGCTGACCGAGAAGGGAAATAGATTTGCTGGTGTTGTATGTGAACACATTTGCATATATGACCTTAAAATACTTTCTTTGGACTTGAAATTAATGAATGCTAAGGAGAGAATAATCTGTTTTGAACAAATAAAATCTTAAAAACAGCACAATGCATGTAAATAAGCATCTGATGTACAATAGATGTGTATATATATACACACAGGTGCATATATATACAACAACAGTTGGTTAATTTTCAGATTGATATTCAAATTTTCTTTGGGATACTGGTAAGGAAATTACAGTGGGCTTTCTGTCCTTTTTTTGAATTCAGAGAGCCTAAACAGGATAGAATTGTCAAATAAAGATAGGAAGAACCGGCCAATGCAACAGGAAGACGAGTATCGGATTCAGATGGAGTTGAAACGTTATTTAAGAAAAGAGTCTTTATCTGCAGGAACATCATCTGAACAAAGCTTTTATGAGACAGAGAGTGCCAGAACGCCTTCTAGTCGTGGCAAGTATAAAACATGATGCAGCATAGCAAATAACCTGTTGTCAAGATTATATAAATTGATTGTTCATCTTTTAATCTAACTTAAGTATCAAAAGAACATTGACATAGAATAATTGTATGCTATTGATCATAATGTTGAATAAAAAATTAGTACCTAGTTTAGGTATCAGCCTAGACTTGACTCAATATTTCATTAAAACTGTTCAGTAATCTGTATGTTGCTGTGCAACATGGTAAATACACATGCAGTGTTATGTCTTTTCACACGCATGGTTGAGAAAATTAAATATAGAATAATAGCGTTGCATTGCCCTGATATTTATATTTTTATTTTAATAATTGTTGCTGATTATTTTCAATGTGCAAATATGAACTTTGATTTGTCAAAAGGAGAGTGTATGAATTTATAGGAATTATACCAAATTGCATACAAAAATGGAATATGTAACTGGTTTAGTATTTATTAGGGTTTTTTGCCTTTTTTTCTTTTTAATAATCTCTGTCCATTGATACTACTAGTCTCAATGTCAGAGGACTTGGAACTTCTGTAAAAAATATATTTAGCTTATTATTATGCCTAGCAGCTGATTTCTGAACTTGCAAATATGTTTCTGTTAAAAATGAAGTTGGGTTTTTTTTTTTCACTATAAAATAACTCTTTACTATCTGTGGCTCTTATTAGAAGAAGAAGTTTTCTTCTCAATGGCTGAAATGGACATGTCTCACAGCCTTTCCTCCCTTCCACCTCTTGGAGACCCTCCAACCATGGATCTAGACTTGTCTTTAACCAGTACATATACAAATACACCAGCAGGATCTCCACTGAGCACTACAGTGGTATAGTATTAACTACATTTAAAATCTTTTTGAAATTAACACTTTTGTCTAAAACTGTTGCATAAACATTTTTTTTGCAATATTGAGAACTATTGCGAAATTCTAGGACAATTGAAAATGTTTAGAGCTGATAGTATTCCTTTTCTGCTATGGAAATTGTATTGGAAAGTTTCTCATCTGTTTGGCTACCAAGACAGGAAGTGAAATGTATTTGTTTTCAAATACCTTGAAGCCTATATAGGACAAGTCATGATTTATTTTCTTTTTAATAACTACATGTTTAGTTTTCAAATACCTTGAAGCCTATATAGGACAGGTCATGATTTATTTTCTTTTTAATAACTGCATGTTTGCCATCTGGGTTTTCTTTTAATATGGACTACACAGGCAATGGCAATAAAAAGTACAAAATCTTTATATTACGTTATTCCTCAAACAACATAAAAATTACACTGTTGATATTGCCATCTTTCCCAAATCTGTTATGTGCCTAATGTCTGCTTAATGAAAGCCATGGAGAACGGTTGTGCTTTTTACAGAGAAACAGGAGAATATACGCTTATGGAGAGAGTAACTTCAGCTTTAAAAATATGATATTTAAAAATACCATCATTGCAGATGATCATAGAGTTAGAAAGCATAATCCAAAGTAAAGCATATCTACATTGTTTAGTTGAGCACAAATACGCCATGAAATGACATGCTGTTGGTTGTTTATGCATGTATTTTCTTTTTGTTCCTTTACGTTATTATTTATGTTTGATCTAATGTCTAACATCTATTTGTCATTTAAGATAATATATGTTTTCGTTTTAGCTTCAACCAACTTGGGGTGATTTTCTTGATCGTAACAAACAAGAACTACAACCTCCAAGGGGTTCTTCTCTTACGGCCAACATGGTTCACCAGACTTCCTTAAGAAGGACCTGTAAGTAAAAATGTTGTTCTTCATTCTGCTTCCTACATAATTCTGGAAATTAATTGTTATGCAGCAACTTGGTAAAAAGAAATGAAAAACAAAAGTAAGATGATTTTATAAATGTGTTATTGCTGAAAAATTATGTGAACTTAATTTTGTATTTCAGCTATTCCATCCAGATCTGTTTCTGTGGATGAATCCAGACCTGAGCTGCTTTTTAGACTGGCAGTTGGAACTTTCTCAGTGTCTGTACTTCATATTGACCCTTTACCCCCACCTGAAAGTTCACTGAACCTTAACCCATTGACACCAATGGCTCGGCATTTCTTTACCCGAATAGAAAAGATTGAGCCAGTTAAGTTTTCAACAGAAGATTTTCTGTCCTTCCGAGAAGTATTTGCAGAAGCTTGTTCTCATGATCACCTTAGGTATAAATTTGCTTATTAATAAATATAATTAACAAAAATATCTTTTAAGTAAATTTGAATAAAGTAAGTTTATTTCCATAGGAATTATGTCACTTAATATTTGAATTCTTGTTCTTTGTTAATTTCAAAATAGCCTTGAATTTTGACATCTATTGTCCAAGACTGGTTTTTTTTTTTCTTTTAAAATGAAAAAAGAAGCGTGCATAAATACTAAAATCAACCTAGCTCTTTTCAACAATGGATGAATTAAACTAGGTACAGTTTCTACCACAGAAATCTAGAGAGTCAAGAATCATCAAGTAAATTATTTCTTTAGAAACAGCTGTATTTTACAGGACCATCTTGATTCCAATACAGGAATTTCTGCTTGAAAAAGTTTAGGGTTTTACTTAGCGCAAAATAGTGTATCAGTGGGGATAAAAAGTAAGTGTGAGCAAGATGGTAAAGTTAGTCAACAATCTTTTTTTCCCAGAAGTTTTTACTGTCCCAGTGCAGTGTATGAAATGAAATATTTAAGGGTGTACATATTTTTTCTTATCTTATGCATGTAATTTAGACTTCCTGAGGCATTTGACTTTGTCTATATAAGGATATTAGATTCCCAGCTTTATGTGAATTGCACTTTAGGTGAGATGTTTAAAGTGTTCTTTACAAATTTCTCTACATTGACCATTGTTGAATGTCTAACAAGTGAGCTCAATTGTCTTTGTTGCTAAAGCTATAGTCTGTTATAGTTAGGATCTTTTCTTATTTCTGAAGAAATTATGGTGGTTTTAAAGTTTTTTGTTTTTTTTTTTTTAAAGGATTGTAGTGATCCTTTTTTACATATTTAAATCTTGACTTTTCATAATTTTGTTTTATACTACTTTTCATAATTCACAATTTTCATAATTCAGATTTATAGGTACTGGCATCAAAGTGTCTTATGAACAAAGACAAAGGACTGCCTCTCGAAGTTTTAGTACTGATTTATCCATTGGGGACATGGAGTTCCTGGAATGCCTTTTTTCTACTGACTCTGATTCCGTTCAGCCTCACTATACAGAGGTATGTAAAAAATACAGGGAGTTCCATAGAAAAGAAATGTTAATTGTCTGTCTGAGAATGCTAGATTTTTTAAAAAAGTTGTAATTTAAAATTTTTTAATTTTTAAATTATTTTTATTAGTATGTTTTGGTTTTAAGATGCAGCTTATATTTTAATGGCAATCTGAAATAGTGAACCAGACTGCTGTCATACCTGACAGGAATAGTGTTAAATAGCCAAACTTCACTAGTTTATTTCTCTTTTAAATATACTTAACACAGTTTAGGAATTAAAAGTAAATGTTTTCCAAAAACTAACTGATAGCATTGACCAATGCAAAGGTTTCTGTGGGTGATGATTATTCTTCCAGCTATTTTCATAGTCTGAAACATCCAATAAAGTGGCTGAATAAGTGGATTGAGTAAGTGGTTGGGCTGGGGCTCTGTTTGCTGACTTGAGTGTACAGTTACTTACTGTCTGTTCTAGGTAAAATGTCATAAGTATCTGTTCCTGTGGCAGCTCTTTCCACTTAAAAATACTATTAAGTATTTTTAACTCTATTTTATTCTAAAGCTGCTGACATTTCATTCTGAAGAAAGAAATGATTCTCATGCTATGCCATGCCTTCAGCTTCATTATAAGCATTCAGATAATAGAGGACCTCAGGTAAGGTGGAAAATTAAAAACACCAAGTTTCTATGTAATAGCCTTTGTCTAATTTTGTTCAGTTTAAGAGAGATGTATCTTTCCTGTAAAACAGAGTCCTTAACTCTGTTGTTATAATTTGTTTCACTATATTGTTTTAAGTGTTTTAGTGCCTTTTTTCTTTCTTTTTAGGGTAGTCAAGGGAGACTCAGTTCTGTTCCACAGAAAGCAGAGTTGCAAATAAAGTTAAGTCCAGTGTTTTGTGAGTTGGATATTAGTATTGTAGACAGATTAAATTCCTTACTTCAACCACAGAAACTAACTACAGTGGAGATGATGGCATCTCACATGTATGCTTCTTACAACAAGCACTTAAGTCTGGTAAGTTAAAAGTAAAACTGATTAATAAACTAAACCTGGGATTGTCAGTTGCTAATTCTGGTTAATTTGCGGTGATTGGGTTTTTTGTTCAGTGGGGTTTTTTTTTGTGTGGGGTGTTGGTTTTTTGGTTTTGTTTGTTTGGTGTTGTTTCTTGTGGTTTTTTTTGTTTTGTTGGCTGGGTTTTTTGTTTTATACTTGTGATACAGAACAATAATCATCTGACATAGATACTCATTTTAGATTCAGTGATTGCATGCTTGGTAACAGACAATGGTAGCTGCTTCACAAACTCTATAAGTTCTCAGCTCCTTGAAGTGAGAAGAACTGGGCAAAAAGGAGGAATCTTGATTGGTTTCTAATCCCCAATCTGTTTATTATGCTCTCCAGCAGCTGATATAAACCGTTGTTGACAATTCTACTTCTGTATTGAAATCTTTAGGTGTCACAGTCAGCCCAGTTGTCTCTGCTGTGCCTTACCCGCTTTTGGGGTAGGTAATAGAAAGGATGCGGAACATATGCATTGCATTCTAGTGATTGAGAACCAACAGAAGAAGTTGGAGCTTGTTTGTCTTTGTTGAGGCCGTCAGTAGGATATAAGTGTTAGTATATTTAACACAATAACATTAAACTTGAAGGCTTTTCTTGAAATACATGAGGAAGGATTAGCACAATTAACTGATTTTTCTACACAGCAACAAATATCTTCACATAATTTTATTACTGCATCAACTGATTACAGAAAACTTAGCTGTCAAAACTTAAGAGAGTCCTCATTTAAAAAAATTGTAAGATATCAATAATTTCTATCAATCTGGTTAT